CAAGGACTATAGACTTAGGGAGTCTGAACCTGAACTTTATTTTTTTCAGAACTGAACACTGAATTCTAGGGAGTCACGGGACTTAATTACTTGCTCTGGAGAAGCTGCCCACTGCTCTCCACCTGCGCCTTCTCAAGACTGCTCCTGCTCTGAGAGGTGCATGGCACGGTTCCCCCAAATTCTCCTTTATGCGTATTCATATTGTTCATAAAAGAGGTGGGATTCAGGGACACATTCGGCAAGAACATACTATATTTCAGAAAGAAGAAGGAAGTTGCCTTGTTCCAAAGGCTGTTTATGTAAAAAAACCTATATATATATAAATACATATATATATTTATATGAAAGCCAAAATTCTTCTCCAAAACCCTAAGCCCCCAGGGCCAGAGCTTTGCCCCTAATTCTAAGTGCTGGATTCCTGTTTAGAGTCGTGTGTTGATTCTCACTTTAATCATTGCTGTCTGTTGAAATTTAATGAACTGGAATAAGGTTTGCCAACTTTCCTTTTAAAAAAAATTCACTCATTAGGCTAGCTTCCCAAATTTTCCCAGTCTGCAGGCAGCGCCTCTGCTTCCCGTTGTTCATTTGCATCTTGTTTTCTTTTAACAGCTATAACTTGTGGAACATTTGCCATAAAGATAATTGCACATAAATCTTGATTTTGCACAAATGCTGGAATGCCGCTCAGCCTGCGAGGGGATGAATACACACGGCTCCGGTGATGAACACTCTGCTCAGGGTTTTAGAGGAGGGACTGGTAGCAAACTTCTCTTAGACAACAATGGTCATGCACAGACTTGGGAGGGAAAATGAAATCTTTTTCCAATTTCAAAGACTCTTATTACAGAATTTTCAGGTGCTGAAGTTTATTTCTCTTTGTGCTTTGACCCTAGGGGATCCTGCTCTGGAGCAAGAGTCTCTCCTGCACCCACCCAGTCTGAGCACCGGCCGAGATCGTTCCCTTCTTATTCCACCTTCCTAAGGTTTACAGACAAGTTGATACAACCTAAACTCTATCCAGGACTGATGCTTTTCTTTCTCTCTCTGTTTTTTTTTTAGATAGATTCTCACTTTGTCACCTAGGCTGGAGTGCAGTGATGTGATCTGGACTCATTGCAACCTCCACCTCCTGGGTTCAACTGATTCTTGTGCCTCCGCCTCCCAAGTAGCTGGGATGACAGGTGGGTACCACCACGTCCAGCTAGTTGTTATTTTTTTTGCGTTTTTAGTAGAGATGGGGATTTGCCATGTTGGTCAGGCTGGTCTTGAACTCCTTCCTAGCCTCAAGTGATCTTCCTGCCTCGGCCTCCCAAAGTGTTGGGATTACAGATGTGAGTCATGGCACTGGCCTGATACTTTTCACTGAGTACTTATCATCAAGCTTCAAGTATGAGGATGTGTGTGGTTCTCTGTAAAGACCTGGGACTTGAGGCTGAGTGGCCACAGCCTTGCTGCTTCTGAGACTTCCAGACCTCTACGTTTTGATCCATAAAAGGGGTGCCTGACACATAATGGGTGAGCCACCCACCAAGCAGGACCCCCCGGGACCCCCCGGGCACCATCTGCTTATGGTGTGACCATGTGTGGTCCGGGGAAGCCTGGATCCTCTTGGCCCTGCCACTGGCTGCTCTTTGGCTTGTCCTGCACAGAGGCTGGGGAGCAGGCCAAGGTTTTTGCTTCACATGGCTGTGAGCACAGGTGGCATAAACCCACACGCAAGCATCGGGTATCATCATTTTCCAAACGGATTTAAAGCTGCAAAACAACTATTAAAGGATAGAAAACTGAAGTACTGTGAGACACACGTTTTTTCAGTAACTTATTTACATGTCAAGCAAATAAGAAGTCAGCGTGGAAACACTGGAGCGGGCAGAACGATGTGCCCAGTGTGTGGCGTAGCCGTCAGCTGCCGTCCTGTGCACTCGCGACGTATCAACCAAAAGTTTAAGCAAAAGGAAAAGGTCAAATCTCTCAGAGACGGAAAAATAATTTTTAAAAACTGCTTTAGCAAAAGCTGTGGATATTGCATTCCTGATAGCTTTTTAAATGTGATTTTTTTAAATTAAAAAACATGTTACAGAGTTTTAAATATTTCGTTGAACAGCTCCCATGTATAACGACTTGCTCATAACTAGCTCTTGATTTCTAACATATTTTACTTTGGTTTTATACAACCAGGTCCTTAGTAAGTATGAAATAAAATAACAAATTAATTAATTTACAAACCATTGGCTGAACATCTAGCATGTTCTGGGTGATAGAGTGACTGATTTATTATTGGAAGATGCAAAATCACTTTTTCCTGAGGTTCTTTATATTGTGACTCAGTTTTGTGTGTGTGTGTGTGTGTGTGTGTGTGTTTGCCAGGGCACTGCATTCGCTGCTTTAAATGGAGTATCTCATTCTTGCTCATGAATAACGATTGTGATGGGTAATTTTCCAGCGTTCTCCACTTGCAGGTGAGGGACAGGAATTGGGGGTGAGTAGCCCATCCTTGGGGCATGGGTGGAAGCTGGCAGGGAGAGGCCCCACGGCTTCCCTGATCTCAGAGTGGGCAGTGACTGGCACGTCTTGGGAGCTGTGGAGGGAGAGTGCTTTAAGGAGTCTGCGAGTCTGTTATGGACTTCACTGCAGCTCCTAATATGGTTTGTGAAGTCCTGAGATGCAGAAACATTGGGATAAAATGTGGCCCCCAGCAGAAGGCTGGGCTGGGTGTGGCTGGGAGCAGTGAGGACTCCAGAGTCTGTGACCCTGAACTACAGACAAGTCTCCAGTCCTGGGAAAGGCCGGCGAGGGCAGAGGTGCTAGTGCTGTGCCACGGCCCTGAGACTGTGTGCAGAGGCCCAGGGACCTGCCCAGCGAGGTGTCACCTGCTCCAGGTGTCTCAGGACTGTGTGCAGAGGCCCAGGGACCTGCCCAGTGAGGTGTCACCTGCTCCAGGGGTCTCAGGACTGTGTGCAGAGGCCCAGGGACCTGCCCAGCAAGGTGTCACCTGCTCCAGGTGTCTCAGGACTGTGTGCAGAGGCCCAGGGACCTGCCCAGCAAGGTGTCACCTGCTCCAGGTGTCTCAGGACTGTGTCCAGAGGCCCAGGGACCTGCCCAGTGAGGTGTCACCCGCTCGCGGGGCCAGGAGTGTCTGTGGGGTGAAATGTCCAGGCAAACGCCCCTGCAGTGTTCGCTCCAGTGAAACCTGTTCTCAGGGTTTGGGACTTCATTTATTTTATCAAAAGAAAAGCAAAGAGTTTGATCTGTGATGATTTTAACCACTGCATCTCAGTAGCTTTCTTAACTTGTTTTCACATAGCAGCACACTGATTCCAGAAAATACATCACAGAAGTTATTTAAGAAAAAATGATTCTGTAGCAAAGGAAGAAAAACACTCCCAAAGAAATTTTTTTTTCAAATATATGAATAGGTAAAAGTGAACATTTTCTATTGTGTTATCCAAGGAAAATCAGCTCTTTTTAACAGAAAGAAATGTACAGTATTTTAATCCTTCTAAAATCAAGAATTACAATGTTTTTTCTAAGCGTAACAAAGCATACACTACAGGGGCCTAAACTGACTCTCGGGAGCTACCGTCATGCCCTCTATTTCAGTAAGTGTGAAAAATAACTTTATAAGGCCAGAAGACCACAATGTATTTGCTACTTACCCCAAAGGAGTTCTTTGCCTCTTGAGATGAAAGGGAAGAAGGCTTCTGTGCAGGCCATAATCAGCGTGACAGCCAGGACAGCCCGCGCTCTCATTCTAAAATTAAGGGAAGGAAACAGAGTATGCAACATAAGCACCGATGAGGCCATGAGAACCACTGTGTCGGCGTCTCCTTGCTGAGCGGCTCCCGCCGCCGACTCCACGCAGCCTCTACCGCGGGGAGTGACCCTCACAGGCCTGGGGTCTGCGAGGCCAGAGCCGCCCTTCATGTCAGGAGGTGCACAGCAGCTGCAGTGCTGAGCAGGCCTCCCAGGCCCTGATTATTCAAAAACAGAGTTTTTATGTTTGGCAGCTCCAGTTGCCAAAATATCTCAGTAACAACCTATTTAAATTTTTGGTAATGTCAAATAGTATAACATTACTGGGAATAATTATTGGGAATGAAAAAAATCTGTTTCCCCTAATGTATCTATCTGGCAAAAAGTGAATACTATTAGAAATCTAGCCTTTATAAAAGTGACAAATAAAACCCCTAAATGCCTATTGAATTTCTTAAAGCATTCTTATGTCCATAAAATGATTTCAGAATTATAGTTGTTAAGATAAAACAGAAGATTCAAAATTCATCATTTCTACTTTCAAATCCTGGTTTTTTTCTCTTAGGCTTTCTGTGACTATTTTTGAGCCACTAATTTCGTTAAGCAGGATAGCACCAGTGAGTCCGTGCTGGCGGGGATGTGTCTCCGTAGACGATGATCTAGGAATTGACCCTACGGGACCCACATGTTCCAGCGGAGGTCATTGCAAACAGCACTCATCAGTCAGTCAGTCCGCCTTGCTGGGAGACGCCACCCGCACCTGCCATAATGACCCAAATTACAGCCTCTCTTGGACCAGTTTACAAGTTCCAGTGATGGATTTCTCTTAGAAAATGGAAAAATAAAAATTTTACAACCTGACCTTTCTTCTCTTCTCAGCCAACTGCAGTGTTGGGCACTTTCTGCGACTGTAACTCTTCTGAAATGAGCGCCTCAATTGCCTTCCAGGGACTTGGTTACCCACCTTATAAACCAACTCCACGCTCTGATACCCCATTAAGATGCCAGGAAGTGGAGTGGCGCCCGTTCTTCGTGGGAACAGAATGTCTATGGGCTTTGTTGTGTTTGCACCAGGCTTCTTGTGTGTCCTGACTGGTCAGAAACAAACTGCCATGTCATCGGGGTGCACATGTGGTCCAACTCTGGCCGTACGAGTTAGGAAGAAGAGGGGAAAAAATTATACAGGGAGAAAGAATAAACCAACTAAATCCAACCTTGTGACACTCGCATTTTCCTCCCTGTTACTTTCGCAGTTAAATACCCTGTGAAAAAGGGGCTGGTAATCTCCCGAGGACTGGGTTGGGTGCAGCTCCCAGGCCCACCAATGACTCACTCTACAACTCTGAGCCTGTTGCTTTCTGTCCCTGAAAACCGGTTTTCTTATCATTAAGAGGTGAATAAACTACACTTTTTCCCAATTTGTTGAGGTGAGAAATGAGCACAGTCCAGCGTGTGTTCACCAGCACACAGACATTCTCCCCTTAATCCACGTCACACACCCATTCTCCCCTCAATCCACGTCACACACCCATTCTCCCCTCAATCCACGTCACACACCCATTCTCCCCTCAATCCACGTCACACACCCATCAAAAGAGTCCCCACAAAGACAGAGAAACCCAGTAGGAAGGTCACCACCATTGCATTCCCGACACTGGGAGATGACGTGTCTTCACGGTTGATCTGCTTTCAGGCTGTATCTCATCATGAAAATGATAAAATAACATGTGTCTTCCATGACCCGCTCCTGAGACTCTGAGCCTCTTCGTGCCCCCGGAAGTCCTTTGGGTTTCTACTTTGTGAAAATCATCTTAATCTTTCTCCTCTCTTTCCCCCTCTCCAAATGTGACTGATGCTTCCTCTAGGTAATTTGAAAGTAAATGCTAAAACATGATGCAAAGGCTTCCAAATATTAGTCTGTTTGTTAGAAGATCTTCTGAACCCTAAGAATGTGATGATTTGCCTTTAAAAGAACATTCTCCCCTCAGACACCATCACGCACCCATAAAATGGGTGAAGATAACAAATGACTTAGACAAGCTCTGAAGAGCAGGGAGATCAGTCAACAGTGATATAATCCCTCCACGCACCCTGAGCATGGTCACTAGGAGGGTGGGGTTTGGACAGAGAGGAAGGACCAGACTTGGTGGCTCGTTAAGGAGGATTCCATGGCTCAATGACGAGTTATTGTTGGGAACAGAAGAAAAGCAGAGCCTCTGAAGATTCAGCCATTCTTGGTTTGATGCCTGAGCAAGTGAAAATCTCATGTACTGATCCTAGGAAGGCCAGAGAAGAAGGCAGACTGGCTATGAAAAGCAAAGTGGGAGCAGGCTCAGGCTTGGAATTGTGTTGGAGGTGTCCATGGCACAGGCGGGCAGTGAGCTCTTGGGCATTTGGAAATGTTCTTTCAGTCATTGGGTGGAGTCCAGCTTAAAGGGACACATTTGGGAGTCCAGAGGGGGATACAGTGTGGACTGTGAGTGAATGGGATTCTTCCTCGGAGAACATGGACGGAAAAATGTCAAGAGTAGCTCAGAGCACTAGCGGGATGCAGTCCCCGAGCCTGTGACTGCACCCTGCATGGCAAAAGGGGCTTTGCAGATGGGATTCAGTACAGATTTTGAGGTGGGGAGGTTAACCTGGATTATCCACTGGTCTTCGTATTAGCACACAGCTCCCTGCAAGACAAAGGTGGGAAAGTCTGTGGGGGAGGAAGGGGGAAGTGATGATGGAAGCCGAGATTGGAGGGCAGTGGCCATGAGCCTCCAGCAACTGGAGGAGGTCAGGAGCAGGGCCTCTGGGGCCTCCAGGCAGAACCAGCTCTGTCCCTGGGCCTTGCTGCCAAAGGCTCATTTGGATCTGTGACCTCCGGAGCTGATGGAGGAAAGTCACTAAGCGTGTGGCCCTCTGTTAAGGCATTCACAGGAAATTCACACAGCTAGAAAGGTGGGTGGTAAAACGAGACAGTGTGGGGCAAATACTCAAGGAAGAGTTCGGAGAAGAGAGCATTAAAATGTAAATTAAATACTAACTGGATGCTCTTTTCATCACAGAAGGACACTTGAAAACACCGAGTGCCGATGGAGACCTGGGGAGAAGAAGGGGTTTGCGCGCACGGCTAGGGGAGGCCGAGCCGGCACTTCACCTCTCCAGGGCGTTTTGTAGCCTCTCCTCTAAGTTGCTGTTACCAAGTGACCCTGCACAAATGTGAGAAACGTATCTATCATTTGAAAATACATATTTTAGCTAGACTACATGATGTGCTTATTTTAATACTAATTAAACAGTATAAATAATGCAGCGAGTACAATGGAAGCTGTTACACTGGAAATGTTGAGAGGTGAGCGGACGAAAGTCTGAGAATGGCGGGTTTGGAGAAGGCCCACTGGACAGCACACATGTTTTGGAGAAAGAGGACGGGGGAGTTGGGAAGGAAGATTTCTGCAGGGAGAAATGGAAAACCCAAGGGTGTCACATAATGGGAGAATGAAAGAGAGGCAACTAAAGATCTGGCTGAAGCCCCCAGGCTCTGTCAGGAAGGAGCATTTAGAAGACGTGGTCACCCAGCGACGCAGAGCGGAGAGATTGCAGGGGAGACTCGGTGCGAAAGAGGACAGTTTTAGCCACGAGAAGGAAAGAAAAGAATACACGTCTTCTCCCATTATGAGAAAAATCAAGGCGCTCCAAAGAAGATGGAAATCTACAAGGAATGCTTGGTACACTAGGGAGCCAACTCACACGTAGCAGGATGGGGAATGCAGGGGCCTGCTGAAAGCAGATCTCATCGAAGGAGTAGCGCCAGCCCTGAGGTCCGGTCCTGGGCCCACCGAGAAGACCAGAGGCAAGCTTCCGTTTTTTTGGCAAGTGCCAATGAACTATTTGATACCCTGGGGAAATCTGACTACTGAATACCTTGATCAATGCATGAGAAACGCAAATCATACATTTTGCTTAATGTCTCCACACAAAGGCCACCTTTATCCCTGCAGGCATCCTGTGTTCCGTCTAAGACCAGAGGTTCTCCCTAACCGGGACCCAGGACCACTGGTAATGGACCCCTCCCCGTGACTGTAACAGAATAGGGATCCAGGATGGGCTCACGCTTGACTCACCTGACATGTGGCCAGGGCCTGACTGCCTTGTGTTCTTCAAACTACAGCCTGATGGTGCCTTTTTTACTTGCCATTCCCTTTTTAGTTTTTGTTTTCCCCACCCCCAGCTTCATCAAGCTACGATTAACAAATAAAAATTACATAGATTTATGTTCACATGATGTTTTGATACATGTAAACATTGTGGGGTGATTAAATCAAGCTAATTAACATATACAGCACCTCACATACTCATCCTTTTGTGTGTGTGACACGAACACTTAATATTTATTCTCCTAGCGATTTTCAAATAAACAATACAGTCATCAAGCTGTACATTAGATCCCAGAACATTTTTATCCTGCAACTGAAATCCTCACCTTTGACCAGTATCTATCTGCTCCCCACGGCACCTGTCCCTTACCACGGCACCAGCCCCTACCGCACCTGCTCCCCGCTGCACCTGCCCCCCACAGCACCAGTCCCCACCGACCGCACCTGCCCCCCACAACACCTGCTCTCAACTGGCACCTGCTCTCAAGGACACCTGCTTTCCCACCGCACCTGCCCCCCACCGCACCTGCCCCTCACTGCACCCACCCCCCACCCCCCCCGCCCCCCGGCACGGCCCCCCACCGCACTTGCCCCCTAACCCTAGGTGTCCACCAGCCACTCTCTGCTTCCACGAGTTCGACTTTTTTAGATTCCATATAGGAGGGAGATCATGAGGTGTTTGTCTTTTGGTGCTTGGCGTGTGTGTGTGTGTGTGTGTGCGCGCGCTGTTCGTTTTTCGCATTTTTAAATTTGTAAGTTTATTTTTTAAGAGATGAACATGGATGAGAGGAGGAGACTCAGGGGCCTGATGACCCCCAAGGGCCGTAGGCTGCACAGTGCCAGGACTGGATGCTGGAACGGGAAAGGACACAGATGGAAAAGCTGGGGATACCGGAGCGAGCTCTGAGATGTCGTCAGCAGCATCGGATCTGCGTCCTCGCGCTGATTCTGGTTGCTGTGCTGTGGCCGTGCACAGAGGTAACACTGAGCAGGTAGGTGAAGGAGGTTTGGGAGCTCTGTGTTACCTTCCAACTCTTACTACAGCTCAATTCATTTTAAAACAAATAAATTTTAAAAATAAAATGCTGTCAAACTTAATTAAATTTCCCTGTAAAATTTGAAGAATTATTCAGCTTTGTTCAAACTCAGGTAGGTAATTTGCCAGTTTATATGAGTCAGGTAAAATCAAAGACAAATATAGGGGGGTTTTCATTAATTGAAATTCAAGAAATAATCATGGGGCTCTCTCACACCCCGAAAATCTCCCCAGTTAGCAGTAACCATTTTAATGGCTCCAGTGTTTCCAAGTAGGAGGTATGAGTGTGGACTCTGGGGACGGCAGTCTGTCCCCGTGTGCGGTTACTCTCATGGGCTCTGGGGACCTCAGTCTGTCCCCGTGTGCGGTTCCTCTCATGGGCTCCGGGGACGGCAGTCTGTCCCCGTGTGAGGCTCCTCTCGTGGGCTCTGGGGACGGCAGTCTGTCCCCGTGTGCGGCTCATGTCATGGGCTCTGGGGACGGCAGTCTGTCCCCGTGTGCGGCTCATCTCATGCTGTGAGCACCAGATTGTGTCCTTCCTGGAGTCTCCCATTTAAGGATACACATTCTTCATGCAACGTGGCCTCTAAACACAATATGACAAATTCAGTTTGGCTGAAACTAAAGACACATGGGCAAGTTCCTGCACTGCTGGAAAAGCTGGCTGTGTGGGGCCAAGACCCAGCTGCTCAGGTCCAAAGTGGCCCTAAATAAGGCTGTTCGTTCACTCAAAGGGGACTTTTTTTCCAGGGCACTGCT